ACTACTCACCCCTGGTAGCTGTAGGTTTTGTCTGTGTAACAATTTGTATCTTGGCACCTGCCACAGTTTCTGATGTAATTTAATCAAGCTATTGGAGTAGGAAAAAATATAAATGTGTTGATTTGAAGGAAGTCTTTGAAACATAATAGATAAGAGACCCAGAATAGATTTTTAGGAACAAAAACTTGCATTTAAATCTGTGGATTTCTCTAGCTAAAGGATTTAATAACACTGCTTGAGAATAGTAAATTTGGTCTATTTTTTGTGTTTATTATTATTATTATTAAACAGAACATATTTGTTTTGGAGAAAAGTCACCAGCTGAAACAGAAATCTGTAGTTTCATTTACTGAGAACCAGCTATGATGGGGAACAAAGTAACTAGGATGTTAGCTCCTTCATATATTATGTAATCATAGTTTATAATGAAACTATACCACAAAAACTTAAGGAACTTAAGGAAAATTTAGATTTTGGGAACCTGTAAAAGAATTAATTGCAATATCATAAGCGCTTGTTTTGAGATTGTTTTTTCTTTTTTTAAAAACCTCTGTTTGTTCAAAATTATGCTATTTAACAAATGGAAATATTTCTGAAACTTTATAAATGGTGCCTTTTCTGAGAAAAACACTGATCCTAGTTTGCATTAAATATGTGATGTGAAATTTACTGTGCTGGAATCCGAACAAAGAGGGACACCCGCAGAGAAATCACCTTTGTTATGGCAAATAGTAGAAATAATTTCTCTGTGTTTTATTTTGAATTACCATGACTCTACATGCAGAAGTAATTGTGTTCTGTAATGACTGCATCTGGCTGGTGGGAGGGAAGGGGGTGAGGAGAGGGCTGGAGGGGAAGCACTTCTCAGCAGTGGGCTGCTTGCAGGACCTGGGAGATTGGGATGGGCAGGGACACTCTGGAGAGCAGGCGGCCAGTTCAGGACCTGGAGCTGGCTGAGCAAGGCTGCCTCACGCGCAGGGTGGTGACACAGCCTGGCTATTTTGGCCACAGAGTTTGGATTGCAAGGCCAGCACGGATGGACTCACCATAGTGCCGGGAAAACATGGATGGACTTTCCATGGTGCAGGGACAGCATGATGGAATCCCCATGGGGCTCTGTCTATCTGCACCTCACCTTACTCTGTGTCCCCTCCCACACAGTCAACACCCACACAAACAGAGCCTCCAGCTGAGCCCAGTGCCTCCTTCACCCACGAGGAGAGTGACAAAAATATTCTGGGGCTTGGGGTTTTTATCTCGTTCTCTCGTCTCAAAAGATACATCTCAGTTTGCAGACATAATTTAATAATATTTCTAATTTTTATGAAATTGCTTTTTTTTAAATACAATATTCTCAAAGAAAATGAAGTTACAATATAAAACCACAGCAAAAAAAAAAAATAAAAGGTGTAAATACAACTTTTTCCATTAGAAAAGGCAGTGCCTGAGGAAGAATGGGACGCAATTACTTTTTACTTTTTTAAAACAGATATAAACTTAAAACCACTCACATATTTACTCCTTGTAAAGGTCAACTAAGCCATATCAGGGTATTGCACTATAGCAAAAAAAGAGCAAAAAAGAAGAATTCACTAAACTTTTCTGAGGGCACAGTTTGTTTCAATGAACACAGACACAACATCCTATTTTCATGCCATCCTTGCATATGTTCATAAATAAAATTACTGAACCACTTGTTCCTAAATAAAATGAGGATGATTTTGTGCAAAAGAGAAAAACACTGGAAAAAAGCAAAACTAAAAAAGCCCTTTAGTGAACAGAGAATGCCATTTGCTCTGCCTTTAGACTATGCCCTGGTACACTGTGTCTTAATATGCTTACTTATACTACTGTACTGTTTATTATACAACATCAACATATTCTGTTATAGTATAAATAAGAAAACTCCAGAGTCAGGAAACAAACCCACTGTGAGTGACAGTGCATCACCATCATGTCATACCAACCATTTTAGATACATATACACATACAAATGTATATAAAATATTAATGATACACAAAGCCACAGAGAGGGCATGTGCATGTGGACAGGAGGAGAGACACAGGGACTGAGACACGTGTGTGTGCACAGAGATGTGGTGAAGGTAGCAAACCTACCCAGGAATCAGAAATCACCTCTCCAAGCTGTGTTTGAGGCACACTCGAACTCCGCTGGAGCTGTGCTTGTTTGCACGGTTCATGCACGTGGCTTTATTTGTACTGGTTTTTGGTAAAAGCAAAGAAACAAAACCACCTGAGTGAGCTGCTGTCCCCCTCCCCTGTATAGCTGGGGGAGTCTTAAAATGAAGGGTGGAAAAAAATATGGCATGGGGTATACAGTGACCTAAACCTAAGAAGAACAGGAAAGAGGTCTAAGAGCAATAAAAGCAGAACATTTCTGTACAGCCAATGTCTGATCTCACACAGGACATTGCAGCAGGGCTCAGAAATTACTTTGTACCCTCTCTTTTGGCATCAATCAAAATTGGAGAGGGGTAAGAACAGCTGAATGTAACTCTGCCAGCTATGAAAACTGAACCCATTCCATCTGTACTTAAAGAAAGGTTAAAATTAAGGAAACTCATCCATGTAAGTTAACCCCCGGAAAGTCCTCTTCAGATCATTCCTATGCAAAATATTTGGTAACACCTTACGGCCAGGTGAATTGGAGCTGAATGTGTAGCAGGCATTGATGACAAGACCATGGCTGGGGCTTGAAAGTGGCTAGGGATTCCTTGTGCCCATCCCTCATGCAGCCTCTTGGGCTGGAAGGCAACAAGCAACAACCTCCCAGCTGAGTTATGACACAGGAGTAGAGGGCATCAATAAAATCCCTCAAGGCAACTGAGTTCTAACGTGGGAATAGAGACAATCACCTTTGGGTCTGTAGTTCACACTGCTCATTTTGGGGGATAACACGTACTAGTAATGTGTTTTCCCTGCTGAGGATGTATGCACTGCTCTGTGGGCATTCCTACACAGCATTCACTCTGGTGACAAAGCCACCACATTGTCAGGCTCTCCTGCAGGTTCAGTGTAAAAACACCACCGTGCCCACGTGTCCAGTGAAGCAAGGGCCTCACACCTGCATGAACAGCCAAAGCTGGAGCTTGTGTAAGCACACATTTGTGATTCATGTTTTTATCAGTGTCCTTCCTCAGCTCCACTGTTGTTGCTCCTGACCTACACCTGCCAAAGTGAAAGCAGAAGAAGGAACTCGGCATGCCTGTAATGGTATGTGTATATAGGAAATGTTTATCAAATCTAGCTGCAAATGTAGTATCAGGCCACACTAGCCCAGGTACAAGCAGTTCATGGTCCCATCAAATCTGTTTTATAGTAAATACATGTGCTTGCATGCACTTGTGAATGAAAAATCTGTAAATATATGACAAGACTGCTAGTCTTGTTGGGTATTTAATGGTGTTTACTGTAAAATATTCATTCCTTATGCAGAGTGGAAGTATTTTCAACATTAAGTTAATAAGATAGGGTTTTTTATGAATAGTTCCCAGAAAATATTGCAGCACCAGTGACAGATTTTTATGCAGCTGCAAAAAAATTATTTTTGCCCAGTCTTAAAGCATGGGGGTGTTCAGGGAGAGAAATGAACTATTGGAAGAGGAAGCTAAGTAGAAGCTTTTAAAAAAAGTTTTTTTATCAGATGTGTATGGAGTTAAAATCTATTTGTCATAAAGTTTTGATTCTATCTGGAACTATAGTACCTGCAGCAGAACTCACCATGGAGTAAGATTTTGGTGGACTTTACTGCATTCTGCAAAATGCTGCAGCCTCTGGGTCCATTCTGCAAAACCCAGTATATTTTATATCTTAAGATTAGTTCCACTGAAGTAAAAGTAACTCAAAGCACTTAGTGAAATGACTGGTTGGATAGAAAGTAAACGGTCACCACAACTTTGTGGGTCTTGGTCCCTCACTATATGGCAAATGCCAGGAAAAAAGAAGACGGCTGCAAATTTTGACTGGCTGGTTTAATTAATCTCAGTGCTTTAAAAATAATCAAGTGCAACACTTATGAGTAGAGCCACAAAATTTACAAGAGGATATCTTCTGTGCCAGCAAAATGGGATTTTTTGTATCTAAGAGAGGAACATTTGGATATTTTCCAGACAGTTTAAAAGGATGAAAAATGTGCTTAAGGAGACTCCCCACACAAACACCTATCTACTTTCTCAACTGTACATCATACTCTTCTAAATAACTAAAACTTTAAAGAGAAAAAAAATTAAATACATTGTAACTTTTATATGAAGAGTAAGGAGGGGTTGCTTAACAAAAAGTGGGGGTTTATTAGATAGGAAGAGAAAATATTTATTCAAAGAAGAGCCAACAATACCCTTTTTCTATACATTAAATGCAATTCATACTTCACAGAGTATATTACAAGGGTGTTTCTTCTGTCTTTTGCATTCCTGCTTGCCTGCCTAGTGACACAAACATGGCATGTTGTGCTATCAATACCAGTAGCACCCTTGCACGTGGGAATGTTCTTCTTACCACCAAAGCAGCTCAGAACCTTCTGGCTGAGGGGGTCCCATCCCAGCCCAGCTGTTGGTGAAGTCATCTGAAATGGGTCCATCCATCTTTAGTTGAGTTCAATCTTCTTAAAGTAGTCAAATAATACTGGAAATCAAAAAAAATCACACATCTGGTAGAAGAGCCCTGGGCTCAGGGTGCTGAGAGAGAAAGCCTGGCTGCTGCTGCCTGTTGTGTCCTCATTGTGTGGAGCACTCTGCACGTGGTTAAGAGTTCTGGCAAGGGGGGCTTGCAAGAAGCATCAGTTCAGGGAAGGGCTCTCAGCTATGTGACTACAAAAACTACTTACATTACTAAAGGTTTTTGGTGATCAAACATTTTCAGTAAAAACTCATCTTAGAAAACTGAGTTGCAATGCATGCTACCAAAATGAAATCCCTGTTCTTGTGGGAGAACATTGCTGAACTTATGATTCTCTTGTGACTTTTACTGTCCAGCTGACTTTTGCTTTGTTGCTGTCATGGCTCGTGCAGCTCCAGTAACGCAGCTGTTGAGGCTTGATCTGTGCCAGTGTTTTAGCCCATGTGGAAACGGTGCTCCCCTCGAGTTATGTGGGAAGAGAATTCGTACCTGTCCTGGCTGTGGTAGCCACACATGTTGCATTCAAAAGGATCACGGAACCCGTGGCAGCCCATATGGATCGTATACATCACGTGATCCAAGAAAAGGACTCGACAGTGTTCACACTTGTAAACCCTTACTTGCTCCCCATTGCTGCTGATCACTTTGAAAGCATCCTGGGAATTGTCAGTGCCTGCTCTCAAGACATCGTATTGCCTGTTTTCTTCTTTTATAGAGATGCCATTTCTTGCATGGGCACCTATGTGGTTTGTCAGGTAGATCAAACCACTGCGCTCCTCATTATTGCTCTCTGTATCTGTTGAGTCTTGGCAGCTGTTGCTGGGAGAGACATCTCGTTCGGAGGAGACAGACTTGGCTTTGGAAAGCAGCAACAAGTTTTCCACTGCGCTGTCCTGAGGGAGGCTGGAGCGAATCTGATTGTCCCCAAGAGGTTTGTGGAGCTGGTACATGGGGCTGATGACGGGCACTCCCTCAGAGCCGCCCGGTGGTGTCTGGACGAGGGGGCGCAGGGACTCTGCCCCCAGGTAACTGATGGCGTTGTTGATGGCCTGGTCGATCACGTGCGTCTGCATCAGCTCGTTCTCCTTCTCGTAGTTGATGCTGGCGTCGTATGGAAGATCGGGCAAGCATTTGTCACCTGCAGTGGAAAACAGCGAGGAGTTAGAGGGCTGATTTCTACATGATTAAGGAAATTAACGTCATGGATTAATAAAACAGGGAAGAGGACAGTTGACCAAATCCACCTACGAAATCCACCTAAGGTATTCAGGGTTCTCTAATACAGCTGCTCAGAAAAGTGGTGTGTTGGTGGTCTTTTTCAGCATGCAAAATAATTTGAGGGTTTTGGAAAAACAAATGGATGAAAGAAATACTGGAAATAATTATACAGGGACTCCTGGGAGCTAGAGATCTAGTCCTTTGTCATATCTTTCTCCTTTCTTACTGGTGTCCCGCATCTGCCTCTACAATGAGAAGAGGCACTCACTGCCTTTGTGGCTGCTGAAGCCAGTGTGCCCTCACAGCCACAGCAAGCTTGGCCCAATGCTTCAGAGCATGATGCACATTATCAATATTTTTACATAAAGTATTACAATCTTAGACTGGAAGTCGTATGGTTTAGTTTCAGACCTTCAGTTTCTTAGAAATAATCCATATCAGCAATGTGGTCATATATATGTCATTTTGGAGAAAAATCAATAAAAACTTTATTTTTCATATTGCCTCCTTCCCCACACACCTACCATAAGCCACATTAGACACATTACCAGAAGCTACCCATGTCCCTAAATATTTTATGTCAAAAAGTTGCTGTATACAGGAGAAACCAAGAATCATGGAAAAAATTTAAGCGCATTTGTATTTGGAGCATATTTTTCCTACAAGGGAGAAAGCCTTAGCTGGAGCAAGATTACTTGTTATTGGTAACTTTAATTCTGATGGGATGCCTTGAGTAAGGGGTAAATCTATCTATATTTTTTTTAAATCAGACTGCACTGATAGCATACCTTGACAGTATATTTAGCTGGATACCCCAGCATTGAACATTGAGGTTCACTACAATTTCCCCCAAATTACTGTACAGATAGCAAAATATAGAAGAAAAAAGTTAGGAGTGGGAAAAACTATTTAAATGTGCAGATATTGATTTTATGAACTTAAGCAGTCTTCTCTAACAGTGTAAACCATCAGTTATTATGAGACCCTTAATAAATTCATGCAAATGTAAAGAGGTAAAAGATTTTCACAAGCTCCTATGGTCTACCAATAACATATTGTTGATAGTCTGGATGGATTTTCTAGCTCTTCAGATCTTGGGAAACACTAAAAGCCACAAACATCTCTGTGAAGTGCTGTCACCATTTCCTGATGAACATGAAATTTACTGGTAGGTCTTGGAAAGTCCTAATTTGTCAAAAGAAATGCTAACAGAAGAATGGAAATTTTACCAGAAGATCTGCACATTAATTTATCAACAATTTTCCACGCAGTTTCTACTCAGATTGACCATTCAAAGTCAGTGAAGAGACCAAAAACCTTCTAGCACAACACTTTTGCAATGATGGGGGCTAAAGTGTAGGAAGTCCTGTGGTCTGCATTTCCCACAAGATATGATTTCATACCAGTTCCATGCTCTGCAAGCAGAGAAAGAAATACCCTGAGCATTGCATAAGTTCCCATAGGGGATGTAGGGTACAGATACCTTCTAGCTGCTATGCTACACAAGCTTCCAGTTCCTCTTGTTTTCTTTCCCAATCACTCTGCCAATTTGGGCTGCATTTTTTTTTAAATTCCAGATTTAACTTCTATAATGCTATATGTTTCAGACAGATTTGCCTAAGATTCAAAATAGGCATTGTAAAAGACTCTCGAATTAAATATAGGAAAACTCTCCTAACATGAACATATACACTTTATTCAAGGAGGAAAAAATGAAACCAAAATCATTCCTATTCCAAGGGCACTGCACACCACTGAAAAATGGGGCTGGTCCTCATTCTAAACAAAATTTTGGGCATCCAGAAAGCAAGAGTTTAATATCTGTTTCTTGGGTAGTGTTTGCTTTATGTAGCATAACTAGTTGGTAGTTGTGCTGAGAGAATCAAGTGTTCATAAGAAAAATTTGTTTCCAAGCAAAGTGTGTCTGAAACACACACAAAGTTAGGGAAGGCAGGCACCATTTCTATATCTAGGCAATGCAGTAATACTTGCACTCATTAAAAATAATAGCTCATTTCTGTGGTTATTAGAGCATAAGTAAATTAAACTGCTAATGGCTTGATGCACTTCAAGGTTTGCATTGCTCAGGATTCTGCAGCAGGTACTTCAACAGTAAAAATGCACTCACTGCATGTGGGCACCTTTCTCTTAGTGTTTTTTATTCCCTTTCTTGGCTGCCTGTTCTTTTAAACATTATAAGCATATATCAATTTTTTGTGGAGTTCTCACTCTCAGGTTTGGATGGCCAAGTTCTTTTGGGTTTGGGAACTATTCCAGTTCAGAATACAGAGAGAATGTTACAGGTAACTGGCTGGATTTGTTGAACAATCTAATTTTTGAAAGGTAATTAATTTAGTCTTGAGAAAAACTACTGAAGCAGAAGACACTCCTTCCTTTATGTGAAGGATGCCATTTTCTTCTTCTCCCTGAGACTCAGCACAGGTATTGGGACATGACAATTTACAGGAGCAATGAAGTACCCAAAAGCTCTCCTCAGCAGCCAGCCAAACCTTGTGTTAATCAGGAATTTTTCTATTGTATGAAGCAGCAGATGATGATTGGAAAGGAAACGATTTGTGAGCATTTTTTTTCTTTTTAGAATATTTTTTTCTTTTGAAGCCTAGCAAATTTCCACAAATATCTGCTGTCAGTAGGTTGTCTTCCTACACTGCACCCTGAAAAACTGACAGGAAAGTCTGCCCTCCTAAAACTCATAGTTAAACTGGCTGTCTTTATTGTTTTTCAGGGTGAACAGAGAAAAAAAGAAAGAAATAGCCAGTCCACACCGAAGGATACATTACATATAGTATATTTGCTAATACCTTTTAAATTTAAGCACTTTTAATCTTCCTGGAGCTTTCATAGAATTAGTATCTGGTCTAATGCAAACAGTTACTAGAGTGTCTAAACTAGTCTGGTTGGCCTTACATATATATTTTAGTTGATATATTTTTGGTTTCTATCTCTACTACAACTTTTGCCCTTTTTTAAGCATAAGCATTTCTTATTCTTGACAACCTCCTAGAATTGTTGTATTTGGACTTGAAAAAAAGCCTTGGAATTTATTTTAAAACCTTTTGTTGCACCTCCTGACATAGCTGAAACTCCCCTTTCTATGTCTAGGAAATACTAATTTTCCTTTCACCCCTGTGTCCTTGTTGAAGAAAGTATATTTGCATTTTCTGTCCCATAAACTGATCTTTTTTTTTCCCTTGACTTTTGACTGAAGACCTTCTTAATGTGCATTTTCTTTCAGAGACTTTAATCTGATTGTTTCCTACAGAATAATATTTTTAAACGTACAGAGATTAAAAAAGAACCTAACTAGATGTGAGTATATGCTGTCCTCTATCTCCCATGTTTTAATTTATTGAAGAATAACCTTACCTAACTGACAAAATATTGTATGCGGATCTCACAAAACTGCTGTAATCCCTCCTTAGCACAGGCCTACTAAACAGAACAATATGTGTAGCCTTCACTTTTATAGGCTTAATGTGAAATTTTTCATTGTTAAGACAAGAACTGCTATGTGCAAAGGGGCATGAAATTTTTGAATTTTTCATAGAATGTACACAAAGTTTTCATTTCATTTAGGTGCTGTTTCCAGACATATCAATTTGGGCTGTAAAAATAAACAGAGTTTATCAAAGGGTGAAGAATATTACCCAGTCTACGTTCAACTAGTCACAAATGCTTTCGGAAACAGCAATATGCCCAGATCTGAATGTCATTCAAGATTTCAATAAAATAACTCTCAAAGTTTGATCAAATGCTATCCCAATGGGAAACTTTTGTTCCTATCTTCAGGTTCTCAAGGCAACTTCAAGAACCTCTTCAGATTTTGTAATGATCTGGTCTGTAAGCTTTTAGAAACACAGAAAATAGGTTTAAAATTGATCTCCAAATGTGAAAAATTAAACATGCAGAAATTTATGCTGGAGATGTTTAGTTGGTTTTTTCCCTCCAACACATCTCTGTATCTGCTTCTATAGAGATACATATTGTTAATTTAGCAAAACAAGTAAAATTATAAAGCAAAAGTAAAAATGCTGTGATTTTTTTAGGGGGCTTTGTTTTATTTTATTTTTAGGAGACAGCAAACGTTTAACTCTTACCAACAAATTTCTGAGGCATAGAGCTCTTACGTTTGGCGACGTTACTTGCTAGTCTATCCAGCACGAGGGCTCTTTCTGACCCTATCTTGCACAGGTCTTCAGCCATTTCACTCTGGTTACTTTCGTCTTTTATGACTGAAATCAAATGACATCAGAAGGGTTAGGCAGGTTCCATTTTAATGGAACTGTTGTCTTAGGTTATCATTTGTCAGTCAATGTCTTTTAGTTCCCAAGCAGCTGGATGAAGGAGCTCAGCATATGAGACACAGGACAATTCTGACTCTCGGTAACAAATGCCCTCACGCTGGTTAATCTGTGTACATGCTCATGTTTTCCTCATTTAGGACACAAAAATGAGATAGCAACTGCAAGGTTTCTGCCTGTATGTCACATAATCACTCCACCCTTTGTTCTACAGCCACTCTGCATTTCTGTGAATAAATGAGGTCCTAACTTTGTCCTGGACACAAAGCAGTTCACCTTTCCACTCTCCCACTGAAACCCTCTGCGATGTCCTTCTGCACCTCTCCCAGTGTATGATAATTGCTTCCTCAGCAGGAAAAATTAATCAACTTCTCAACTCCAACAGTGGAAGATCTATTTGCAAGCTACACCAACCCTTGTTTCTATCCCCTTTTATCCCATAGCAAATATTTCAGTACTTCCTTGATGCTATTTTAGACTTTACCAATTTAAATTGATAAAATCACACCTTCAGTGGAACACTAATTTCCAATACTCAAACCTGTTTCCCAACCTCCTGCTGCTGCTGAGACTCTGTAGAATTAGGAGCTTAATGTGAGGCTCTAGGAAAAGGAGACTATTTCATTTTCAGTATATTTTACTTCAGTACTTTCCTGCAGAAACAAAAGGGATGTATGAAAATGCACTGTCAAAACAATGACTGTGAAACAGGTATGGAAAGGTATTTCTGACTTCCAGCACCTAAGAGAAAGGCAAATGGACTGAGATCACAACACAACTGTTTTGCTGTAGGCTTTCTGTTTGTGGGGTTTGGGGTCTTTTTGGTTTGTTTGTCAAGGGAGAAAAAGGGGTTAATTTTACTTTTATCTGCTACTAAGATATGGACATTTTTCCTGAACTTTTGGGTTGCTAATACAGGAAGACGCAAAAGATTATTTTTACACTTTGATTCTTTGAGTTATTTCAATTAAGTGCCCTGCTCTGCTATATTTTTCCTTCTGTGCCTGCTGAGAATTTGTTTTATCACTGGATTAACTGGTTCACAGGACCCATTACTCTGGTACCTGGCTGTTTCTCAATAGCTGAGAACACATTGTTGTGATCCAATGTTATTCTGAGAATATACCACAGCTTATCATCCATAAAAAAGGATGATTGTGAAAATGTTGTTAGACCTGAAATATATGAAATCAGCTCTGATGGATACCTGTGAGGTACAGGTGAAGTTTACTATTCAACAGTACCCTGCAACCAAACTGAGGAGTACACAGCTGTTTCTTGAGTCTCTGCTGCAGCAGCACATACTGCAGAGACAGTGACAGTGACAATGACAATGCCAATGACAGTTATATGGAGTTTCATGGAATTATATTCCAGCCCCATATGACACTAAAGATTGTGACCAATGCAGGAAATTATAAGAATTTAGTCGTGAAGGTGCAGAAAACTAAAGGGTGTTTATGGTACATAGCCATCATTGAACAAGCACACACCAGCATCTTGTGCTGACCAAGGCTTCCAGGTACCATCTCAGGAAGAGACTTACAGATAATCTTTCAAGGCAGACATTCAACAGGGACACAAAAGACTGAATATTTAGTTAAATGTTGAAATTATCAAGAAATATCTGTTTAGGATATAATAACATTTCTAATCAGTTCAAGAGAGGGTGAGTAATGTATTTAACAGTTAAACTTTCAATCCTCTAAAACTTCTTAAAAAAGAGGGCAAAGTGAATCATGTACTAATCCCCAGTACTTGCAACTGAAACCCTCTGAAATCTGCAACCAAATGAATAACTATTTCTCTATAATTTGGTGTCTGTAAAGTGAAAAAAAATCATGTCATCTTTTCAAACAAAAAACTCAGAGTGACTCAAGAACTGTAATTGACCTTTTAAAAACTTCATAAACTACTTCTCTTACTGTTTTATTTAAGCCTTGTAAGACTTCAGCACACTTCCACTCAACTCAAATGCAAAACTACAGGTAATATCTCTAAGAGAAGAACTTCCCATGGACAGTGATATTTTAGTCCTCTAAAATAAGAATTTTGCGATTCAATTCATCAGGTTCCAATTTTTTATAAAAGTTAAAAATGTAAGTACGATCTCTTGCTCCACTTCTTACTCCCTTTTACTCTATCTTACCCTTATTTAAGTTCTTTCTCAATTACATTTTTTAGATTTCCAAGCTGTTTAGGTTTAGGGTCTTTCTACTGACAATTTTTTTATGTGTGCTGCCTAAAGTATTTTAAAAAATCTGTAAAAAGCAATCTTGCTGTGGCAGAATGTCAAATCAGATGGACTAGCAGATATTTTTATAGAAATTTTTTGAATTTTGTTTTTAGAGACTGGGGCAAAAAAGGGGTCTGAATAATAACAGATCCACATCACACCTTGAAATAGTTTAAGAACAGTGATATTATAGCTGCTTGCTTTTCTAGTTATATGATAGAATACAGTAAAATTCACACAGCATCCACTCATTCTCAACTGTTTTTTCTACATTTTCATAATGCAAAATATGAGGAAAAATGCAGGAAAATTTCATTTTTTTAGAACTGTATAGAATTGATTTTTTTTAACTGAGGACTAAATTTCTTTAAGAGTGAAGTCTTTGGCTGAATATGAGATTTAAACTTTTTAGTTAATTTATTTTTTTCTAATTTGCAAAAGCAGTCCTATAATGTCAAATATATTGAATATAGAAGAATATAAGAAGAATATACAAGAAAATATACATAAATAAATGTATATATAAGAAGAAGTCATTCTTCCAAAGCATTACTTAATTCCTTCAAGTTTTCATCCCATGGAGTTATTGGATATTTAGTAGTAAGCTGGTGCAAGCTCTCCTTTCAGGATTTTATATAAACAAGGGTCAGTCTCTAAAAGTGTTTCATCTCTTATTAAAGTTTAGGATTCCTGACATCACTTTCATCTTACTAAGACTTTCGTAGTAGTTCAGCTACTCATTCACACAGATTTTCAAATTCAGTGTGCAGGCACTTAAAATCATGTGCTAGACACTGAAGACTGAAATCTCAAACCAGAATATTTGCTCTAAATCCTGTCATGTCTTTGAGAAATAAGTATTTCTCCTTACTGTGTGTATTATTACATTGAGGTTTTCTATTCATATATTCTGCAGCCCCTCAATAAAATTAGAAGGGGAACTGCTCTAACATGCTGCCTGCAGAAGCATCTCAGTTGTATTCACTGCTATCATTATGTGCATATACTTTACATTATTTGATAGCATGTAAAAACATATTCTGGTTCTGTACAGATATAAAATATTAAATGAAGCATCATTGCAAAAAGGGCAGAGAGAACTTTCCATTTTTTGTCATTTGACAAGCTAAATAATATATACTGACAGGATTAAAAAGGTATGCAGGAAATGGAACTTACTGGCTGGATTTAAACTCCACCATAGAAACTGGATCTTCTCCATCTAAAACTGCACAAGCAAGAGGACTTTGTATGGCTAATTACTGTGATGAATCCCTTACAGATCTTCTGGATCTTTGTTAGAAAATATAATCCAAGCCCCAATATCTGCTTGCTCTCTTTCTGGGTATAGTTTTTTGATATTCTCCAAGAAATGGACTTTACCTTCATCATTACACTAGTCTCAACACAAGTCCTTACCTCCCCCCAGTTTTCTTTCAAAGGGAAGCTTGGGAAGAAGGCTGTCAACAAATTATTAGCCATTCTGGACTATCTCAGGTCAAACTGCCTAAATTAAATATCTCTGGCTTCATGTTCTCTTGCTTGGCAGAGTGAGATCAAAGCCAGATATTTCATCCTTGTTAGATGAGCTGGTCCCAGTGGTCAAGTAAGCCCTTTAAGCTGTGGCTGGGAAGGTGAGGAGATGTGCAGCGCAGAAAATTCTGCAGCACCAACTAGAACACTGGAATTAAGTCTTTATTGAAAAGACATCCATAAGTGTATTGCAATATAGGCTTCCAAGAGAAGGCGGTGAGGTGATGTAGCCATATTTTCTTGACATGACAAACTGATGTTTTCCAGGCCTTGCAAGTGTTTTGCTACATGTTTGAATTGTACCTTGGCATTTTATTGGAGCTAAAAAAAGTGAAAAAACAGCCAAATATTTATCAAATAAAGAATTAATCCAGGCACAATATCACACATGTGGGGGATGTGTGTGACTCTCCAAAGCAAAAGTTGCCACAAATGGTACTACTGATTCTTTTGCACTCCTTTCTCTGCATTTATGACAGGACAGCAGTATTGCCCAGATAGACACTTTTATTACCTGGATAGATGCTGCTTGAGAGATTCATGGTTTGAAGGTAGTTATGGCAGCGTTCTTTATGTTCTTCCAAAGAGCTGCGCTGCTTGTAACTGCGACCACAGTATCCACACTTATGGGGTTTGCCAACTGGAGAAAACACAATTCATTATGAGATTCAGATGAGGAATTCAACAGCATATGGTAAAGACAAGAGATAAAAAGCCTACCCCAAAAATAAAGCCATGCTGTGGTGAAGGAAGATTTCATCAATTTAAAAAATCTAAGTGAAAAACAACTAATGGAAAACTGATTGTATATCTTTACATTAACAGGCCAATTCTATGGGTGCTACAAACTGATTTTAGATGATTCAGATCAGATAAAGACTGTGACATTAAATCTTTAAAAACAGCATCTACACAAGTTAGGAACTGAGACACCTTCAAAGGTCTGGGAGCGGTTTCTGTAGTGTCCAGTTGCACAGAGACTGCCAGTGGGCAAACTGGTGGTATAGGTAGGGACTTGATTGGCTGGAAGTCAGTTCTGGTGAACAGAACCAGCTCAACTCTTTTAAGACAGTTTTAGATTTTGTGTGTTTTCTGCTTCTGGAAATTCAAGAAAAATGGCATGACACTTTATTTTCTGTTTTACATCAATCCAGATCAAGCTAGTTCGAGGAATTTTTCACCAACAATACTTTTCGGTGTGCTTCTGGACTTGAATTTTCTGTCTTAATATGATAAGACTGTCACTTTATATGTGATTTCACAATTTTAGATAGTTACACAGCTTAATTTCTGAATTTTATTTACAGGTTCTTAGGGGAAAATCAGATTCAGACATCCAACTTGTTTTATAATGTATCAGTGCCAATTTGCCAGTTGCAGGAACTAATAATTATCTATAATTTAGGCATTGTCTCTTTAACTACAGAATCCTCAGGGTTTACCAAGAGTGTCTAGGTGAGATTTCATATATAGGTATACATGAAAACTATGTTTCAAATTGTGCATCCATGAAAATCAATAAAAACAAGGAGAGGGAGGCAAAATGCTATTTAAAATATGTGCCTTCCTTAATCAGGCTGGGAAAAAACAGGACAAAGAGAAATTATTTTGAAAATCTAAGGATCTTATTATTCAATACATGTGCTAGAGAAGAATCTTCCTAACTTTTGGAGCACAAAAATATCACTTTGAGAGCTCCCCTTCTGCCACCCAGAACCCAAAACCAACTTTCACAAGTAGCATTACCAGTGTCAATTCCAGCAAAGTGTATTGGAAGTCTCCCATCCAAATAGCAATTTGCATTTGTAGCTTAGCTTGGGGAACTAGATGAGATGGCAGTCTGCTTTTAAAAGCACTTTAAATATGCTAAATTTGTTTTACTTCACAGAAGGTATGTGACTGTGGCTTCTGTCAAACAATGAGAGGTTCATGGTAATGGGAAAGTGCAGGTATTCAAAAATATTTATTAATATCTCCATATTACTGTTGAGACAGACACTAAAAAACTCCATGAGCATCCTCTTTTGTGGAAGATGATTATCTTTCTTTCTCCCACCCTCTGCCTTGTCCCCACTCTCTCTTTCAAAGTACTTGTAATAACAATATGCAACAAATAACTCCTGCTAAATGGTGTAGGCAGTATTCACTCCTCAGGCTGAAGATGAATACAAGACTGTATTTCAACTTTATATTATCTCTAACCCTAAAACATTCATCAACTTAAGTCATGTTTGTACTTCTATGAAATGGATTACTCACATGGGGCTCGTAAGATGAAACTCTAATACAGAAACTTTGAATCAGCCAAGAAGTATGGGAAAAAACCCAGTTCTTCTGGTGAAGGGTCATGAGTGTGACGTGTGTTTAGTCATTTCTTTGCTGCTAACATGCTGTGGCCAGCTCACAGCTTGGTTAACCCCAAGATGGGGCTACTCAGGGTAAGAAGAGCTCACAGGATTGGTGGCCACCCCCATCTCCTCAGCGGCTATGGTGATAAGCAGCCCTGGTTATTCCCAAACCTTTGCTTACCTGAGTGAGTCCTCAGGTGTCCCGTGAGGGCATCCCTGCGGCGGCAAGCATAGTTACACAGGTGACACTTGAAGGGCTTTTCACCTGAGTGCAGCTTTATGTGGCGCAGGAGGTTGCCCTTCTGGGTGAAGGAGGCTCCACACTGATTGCACTGGAAAGGGCGTTCTCCTATGGGAAGAAGGGGAAAATATGTGAGAACAAAAAAAATCTTACACGGTAACAAGAGAAAGATTTCAGGGAGAAAGTTGTTTTCTCACTGCTGCTCTGTGACTTCCACCGGCTGCAGGTTTGATATAACATGAGGCTTTCAGACTAAACCTGCCAGTTTCTTAATGCTTCACTGGCTGGGTCAATTTGATCTGAAAATCTAATTTTTTTTTTCTAAATCAGAATGGCACATCACAATGCAAATTCAAACTCATTTAAATAAAGTGACTGCAACATTTTGTGTTGAAGAGCCACTCTTCCTGATCAGCAGTTTTGGAATAAACCAATATCCAATTTTGCATGTTGTGGCATTTGGTGGGGTTTTTAATGTGGCTTTTTTCAAAGGGTCTTTAAAATATGCCACTGAAGCAGCAAAATAAAAAGGAAACTCATTAAAAATGCATTTCAGGATCACAAGTTCATTTCAGCGTTACATTCTTATATTTAAATGAAAGGCACTTCATTATAACAGTTATAATAACTTCTTTTCATTTACATTTTCCCTGTATTTTCCCTTTCAATTTCTTCTCCATTACCTGTCTGTCCCTAAGCAGCCAAATCAGGAAAGAGACAGAGAAAAGAGAGAAAGCTAGAGAGTAAAATCACAGAAGTTAAGACAGTGCAAAGGAAGCCCTGTACTTCCATGTCTAAGTCCCAACCCTTCTATAGGTAAGGTATCAGCAGAGGAGCTGCGCAAACAGGCTCTGGTGGCTTACACTTTGGACAGATGGGGAAAAACTTGAAGAGATGCAGCCTTGATTTGTCTAAACTGGTGTTTGTTATCAAGGAAGTGAATCAAAGCCTTTGCAAAAATTAATATGGCTGTTGTTTGCTTTTTAGTGTTGTTTAAAATCAATGTATTTTATTAGTTTGGGTTTTTTTGGTTTTTTCTTGTATATTTTTTAAAAAATTTAAGATGGATGAGGCTTTTTCTGAGATCAATGGGAAATAAAATACGTTTCCAGTTGTAACAGATGGAATAACAGAAAAATTATACATTAGAGCATTTTATCAGCCAGAACTGCTTCTACATGCCTGTTTCTGTACAGTCCTCAACTAAGTCAAACTAGCCTTTAAAAGACATTTGCTGAATTTTGTTTCTCTTAGGCATCAGTTCAATCTGTTGTAGTAAGTATAGTGTGTCAACATTAGAAACAGCCCAAAGATGACCAGTTCTTAGTTATAATTTTTTTTTTTGGTGTAACAATAATATTGTATTTAAGATTTCAGTGCTGAAGTTAAAATACTAAAAGAAAGAAAAACAAAAACAATTTCTTCCTTCTCTCTCAATCAAACATCATGTACCATTTTGCACACCTAGGATGACTTTTTATGTGCATATACATGTGCATATATGTGCAGCATGATAATTTTTGACTTCTGGGTAACGCATCAAAACAGCTGAAGATCAATTAGACAGCAGCACTGTCCCAACCCAAAACCATGAAAACTCTGCCATCCGGGCTGGCAGCTTCAGCATACAGCAAAGAGCCAAATGAACCCCCTCTATGGCAAGACATTTTCATTGGTCAGTTTCAAGCACAGCAGCATAATGCCTGTCAAGCCAAATGAGCTCACTTTCTTTGTCAAGTAGCTCTGTTCATCTAAACTATACCCACATCTGGTTCAGCTGGGGGGCACACAAAAATGCCAGCATAAGCCTTACAGGACTTTGAAATGTACTTCATAAAGCATGCATGGTATGGTTAGGGAGAAAAGAAAACAGGTGTCTCTCTACTTAACTTAAACTTTGAGGCAGTTACTCAGTGCAGGAAGTATTTTTCAGAAATGGACTGAAACAGTAAACGGAAGAAGTTCAGCTCAGCAAGGGGGGCACATTCAGAAGAAGTAGTTAATTCTTACTAAGTATCTTTTCTAGCATTCATTTCTGTTATTTTTACTCAGAGGACTGTAAATAGACAAAACAAGAATCATACAAGTACTCCAGGAATGAAATGTAAAGCAAGTAAGAATGCGATGTATCTCTAGCCTACAGCCCTCCCAGTCATAGGCTGAAGTCTTGCACTAGGTGGAGAAGATGGATGGAGCATTTGAAACGAGACTGCTGCACACCAAATACTTCTACAGAACTTAGAGTGGGATCAGATGTAAGGAAGCCTGAACTTATGTTCCTGTAGAAGGAGAACAACATTGTCACCAAAAGACCCTGAAGCTATGCTGGCCCTTAGCTGTCCATGATGCAACTACTGGGGTGAGGAAATGCCTCCTTTATTGAGCTCAGCAAAACTCCCAGACCTGCCAGGATGCTGACAGCTACTGATGGAAGGTTACTGGGTGTGATGATACCTCCAGAAATGAGGATGGAACAGGATGGAAATAAAAAATACATAATGACTGTTTTTCTAAACAGTCTAAACAGTATTATTTTCTACAGTCTAAACTGTATTATTTTCTTCAGGTCTGAACAGTACATACCTGTCCTTGGCATGTAGCCATGACCAAATATAGGCCCAGGAACAAAAACTGCAGTGGGACCCTGAAATCAATCAACCATTATCACTGTTGCAGTGATTTGCAAGCCTTAGTAGGAGCTTGGGCCCTGAACCACATATTCAGTGAAGAATACTTATAATCTTAATTAAAATATTTCTAATTTCTTAAACAATGACAAGATCACCTAACACTCAGAGATCTCTAACAAGCAGACCTCTCTTTCTAAAAAAATTTGAGACATTCAGAACCAAGTAACAAGATATGAGTGAACTAACTGGTGACTTAACTTAGTGTACACATAAGAGGCAATATATACACTTATGCACACGTATAAACAGATATGCATGAATGTGCAGATATATGCACAGTGAGCAAGAGAAGCCTGAATATACCCTGAGGTTTCAGTATCAGGGAGCAGGAATTTCTTTCTCCTTTCAAGATCTCCTTTTTCTTAAACACCAAACAAGGCAGTGGCAAGCTGGAGAAAATGAATGTGCTGAAAGGGGAGTGAGAAGAGTTGGGCATCTGTGAGTTGGGATTTGCTCTGCAGATCTAAGCAACAGGTAAGGTGCTAGGGAGCAGTCAGTGCTGTACAGCTGCCTGCAGACAGAAGAGGGCAGAAATATCAGGTGCTGCTCTGCATATCTGCACTTGGCAGGTGTATTCATTAAAAACAATTACATCTTTTATCAGGTCAGGCAGTCATGTTATTTTGGCACTTTAGTGTGCTAGAGTTTTGTTCACTTATCAAATATTTTTTTAAGAAAACCTCACTGCATATGCAGGTTTTACATGAATTAGCAGCAAAGTAATTCATTTGTGAGGCTTATTCCTTCACCAGGCATGTAGTGAAATGGGCTTCAGCATAGTCAGTTAAGTGTCAGTAATAGTATATCCCATTTCGACTTTAATTTTCACAGCACAGCTGAAAGGAAAAGCAGTCACCACTGTTTCCCCATGACGTTCCTTTAATTTAAACTACTAGCTCTGATCTTCCACTCCTTTGCCAGCCCCTGAAAAACCACCTGAGCTCATTCAAAGAGTCTGCTCAGGAGAGGAGCTGAGGATGAGGCATGAGGGAAAGCAAAGGTTTTGCATGGAAGGACCTAGGGACAAAATTTCATACCCTTTAGTTTTATCGAGTGTAAAAGAGGGTTGTGCTGAACAATTTGCCTCTCGTGGGCTGCTTCCACTGTAGGCTTGAACTATATTCCCTTATTAAAAAGAGGGTCTAGTTGGTAAGGGAAGAGCTCTGCAAAGGGTAAGAAATCTTCAAGTGTGGTAGCACACAAGAAATCTTTGTGTGGTAGCACCCCAAGCACCCCTGGCAGGCAAATGGGTCCCTCTGACAGGCAAGAGGTTCGGGGAGCTGAAGGTCTGGGGAAATGACCTGGCACTCAGTGAGGTGGCCCCTGGGGATACTGTCATATGGACCAGGCAGCCCAGCTCATGCTCGAGACAGCGAGCTGGGTACCAAGGAACTCATGAGAAACAAAGGCAGCTGTGCCCACCACCTCCCTAAAGTCAGGTGTGCTCTCACACAGGCCATTTAGCCCTGGCGCAAACACTGCCATGGACCCTTAGGGACCTGAAACAGCTCCTCTGATCCAGCAACAGTGGGGGGTTTTTAACAAAAGAGCAGTCTGCTTAAGCAAGCACAAAAACTTCTACCTCTAAGTGCATTTCAAGTTGCAGCATATTGTTTCAACCATTACAGCAACCTCTTTAGCCCTGTTTAAAGGGCTCACATACAAGTCATTTTACAGGTTCATTTTATCAATTTTTAAAGGAAGGAAAGGAAAGGAAAGGAAAGGAAAGGAAAGGAAAGGAAAGGAAAGGAAAGGAAAGGAAAGGAAAGGAAAGGAAAGGAAAGGATCAATCAGTACTTTTTATATCTTGGAAGTAGGCTACAGCCTCTCTTCTGAGTACTAGTTGTGACTTTTCCAATAATTGTCTGTTCTTCCCTGACAGAGGGATTTATCACAAAGAATTGAAGAGTACTTTGAAGCAGGCAATGTAGCAGCATTGCTACTGAACGTGGCTACCCCATGTTACACTAACAGATCGCAGGATTTCATGGCTCACAGTTCCTGTGACAGACAGTAACACAAGGGCAATGGAACACACTGTGGGCCTTTTCACAAATCCTCTCCATTTTAACTCTGAAAGCACTTTGTTAATCTCACTGCTTAGTAATTCTGGGAAAGTTACTTAAGCAAGATTGTGAGGATATGGAGGAAGAAAGAATCTATGTGTTTATTGGCACAACTATTTCAAATGTAACTATAAGACAGATCAATTCTTACCTTAAAAATATTTTAAAATTTGCTCTCATTGGAATATTCATGTAAAAATGCCAAAACTCAAATTTATTTTCAAAGCAACTTCTGTGAAATAACCATATAGTTTGGTTCTTCTCTTTTAGCTATGAATGGCATTAAAGTTTAGATTGGAAGCCTAATTTTTAGACATCTTATATCAGGCAAGGGGAGACTCACTCTTTACTTTTTCATTTGTTTCAGCCTCTTCATTTTTGGCCCTCTTTGAGACTTATCAGAATTAGAAAATTGAGAAAAGAATATTCACAGCACTGTATAATGAAAAGCCATCCCTGTGGACACAAAATCTTTACATGTCTCTTTTAGTGTCCTGGTGGAAACACTTTAGTGCACATTTGACCCATGACAATACTTATTTTTACTTAATGAAACACCAGACATGAAATGTAAGTATTTTTTGACCAAGTCTGTCAATACAGTTCTCTTAATAAATATTTTTCCAATCACTTTCATAATCACTGATCCATAATGAGCTTTTCTGTTTTGTTGGAAATATAACAACTGGGTTAATTTCAGAGTTAGCTACAAATGGGCTTTTTTTCAGCAGTTCTTAGAAATTTCTTAGAAATTATACAAGACTTCTTTTAAGTTTGATTTTTCAATGTTTTTTTTTTTTTGGTTGTTGCTTCACATCAAACAAACAGCACAATTTCTAGCCCAATAGATGGACTTCCACGAAGAAATCTCAATTTCTGTGCAGGCCAAAAAGATGTACCAAAATAACTGAGTTCCAAAGGCTCACCCATGCTGTGTTACCTTAGAAGAGGCAACAGGTGCATGATACAGAGTATAAGTCTTAGTTACTAACATGTGGCCAGTTCTTGTCAACTATAGGAAAAACTATGGCAGGCCTTACCAGTGTGGCTTCGTTTGTGAACCATGAGCACATTGGGACCGATGCAAATTATCCCACAGATATCACATTTTAGCTTTCCGTTAGGAAGTCGAATGCCTCCAACTCCTGACAAAGCCTTGCTGCCTGGGCCATTGTGTGAGCCATTCATTTTCTCTCCTGCGGCATCAAGCATTCGTAAATCCTCCGCACATTCTTCCCCATTCATTTCACAGGCACGCCCATTCTCTTCATCACTCTGAGTCTCTATTTTAATATTACCAGCTGAAAGAAACAATACAGGATGCCACTCAGTTTGGTTACAGAACAAATAATGTGGCAAAGAAACAATCACATGAAAGGAGTTAATTTCTAAACAGCAGGTACAATATCACTAGATAACAAATGCTGTGACCTCAACTATAATTTTGTGGGCAATGTGATGAGTTTGTAACATGTGGAGCAATGAACAGTGAATACCACTACAACAAATATGAGGCATCCAGGGAGCTGGGAACCCAAAAATATTACAAGTCTGTTTCTAGGTCGCTTTGAGATTTTTGTGTCTATAGCTTTCATTCTGACAACCAAGCTAATTGGAATGAAACTTAAAATTAACCCACTTCATAGAGATTTGTCCAAAACAGTTGTGTAAGTAAGTAACTCAACTCAATGGATGAACAGAAAATGCAACATTCTCCACTTGGCAGGAAGATTCCTAGGGTTGTACAGAATCCAAAATTTTGGTTTGCAGTTCTACAGGGTAAGCAATGCCAATGGTAAAGCAGAGTACAAACACTGATAAAGAAATCAGGGTAGGGAAGGATGGAAGGAAGAATTTAAGGAAGCTATAGGAGTGATAGCTGTGTTTCTCGGACAGCAAGATTAGGATTGCTGAGTAATTGGAGACTATTACTATAACCAGAAGTTATGATTAAAAACCAGTCAAATAAAAAAAGATGGATGGGAAAACTATTATGATTTTATAGGATAAATCCTTTTCATTGTAATCCCATAGGTGACAACTGTCTGCAGCCAGAATAAGAATTTAGGTAAATTTGCTACAGCCACATAACATGTGATAACATAAAGGCTAGTAAATTTGATGTGATATGAACACAGCAAACTTCAACATTAAGGAAAAGGGTCAAGACAACTTCATGCCAGTATTCATTCCTCCTCTCTCCACAGGATTGTATGATGATTTATGTATTAAAAAAATCTTTGCTATTATTTCCCTCTTTTCTAATCTGGTGATTTTGGTGAAAAAATATTCTTCATTAGGCTGGAAAGGACCATTTCATTGCCCAAAATCTTACTTTCCATACAGTAAAACCCCTCTCACCTTCATCCCACTCCACCCAAAAAACCCAAAGAGTTTACTTCAGTATTTAGCTAAGAATATGAGGGATCTGTTTCACCCAATAAAGTCCAGGTCTTTTTCTTCTGTGGAACAACAGTTTTATAGTAACCTCATTAAAAAAAGTGATGGTGTAGCAATAAAATAACAAAAAGCTATGGACAATAATTAGCTCAAGAGATTGAAAGACTTTGATATTTCTTTGAAATGGAGAGGATTGACAAGCTCTTCTCTGATACATCCTGCAACCTCACAGGTGTGCCAGAAGGAGTGCACGGATGTAACTGACAAGAGTATCTGACTCAAAATCCTATTGGGAAACAGAAACCTAAAGGTGTTCACATTTACGAATACTGCTTGACTGGACACCTTTTAAAAAGTTTACCAGCCTAGGTATTTTAATGTTTTTTCAAGTATTGCATTATAAGAGAAACCATATGCAAACCAGAATAAGTGCATATCATAAATAGCAGTTTTCCTTTAAAATGTATGTTCTAGAAAGAGGAATAATTTAGTGATGTACCAAAAAAATCAATGACCAAGCAATGACTTAAAAAGATGGCATGACTGGTTAAACAGATCTGATTCTGCAAATTTAATGAGCTACAATCTCATACTGCTGTTTTCATCATGGCAAATGGAAGCAATAGAAATATTTGGCTTGAGTATATGACAAGATTTTCCACAATTTTCATCTAATTTTTTTTCTTTTCAGTTATAAGAATAATAAATATGTACTTTTACTAAACAATTCTAGGCTCTGTGCCTGCCAGGAATTTGGAGAAGGTAACTTTTGAAGCAGATTTTTTGTTAAGTTAAAACAAAACACACATGAACAAAACAAAAAGATCAGACTACTTAAGTGCATGCAGACAAACATACATTACTCAGAAATGAAATGACACCAACAAAAAATCATAAAAGTAGGAACTAGATGGAAATGCTCTGTAGTGAACTGAGTTTCAGTATACTTACTGGAAAAAGATTTGGGAATTATTGCATGAAAGTCCCTAAAGCCTTCCGCCCCGTATGCAGCTGCAATAAAGAAGGCAAACAGGATGCTGGTTTGTGGTACTGCTAGCAGTAAATGTAAAAGAAGATGGCACTATTGCTATTAGTAAATACCTAGGAGAAAGACAAAACTATCATCACAGAAGCAACATAAGCAGTTTAGGATGAAGGAGGAACAGGAGAAGGACAGCTGGCAGGGGAATCCTGACTCGTCTAGAGCAATTCCCACCTACGAAAATGCCCTTTTCTTCCAAAGTGGCCAACAAGTTTTATCATGTTTTCTAGAAGCATTATGTGCTCTTGGGTATTCCCCTTGTCTGAGCAGTAATTCCTGCTGAAGTCAAGAGGAACTCTTGCTAACTCTTGTCTCAAAAGGGTCAATCCAGGCCCCTACAGTGCATCTTCCTCAGAAATTATTTTTTGCCAATATGCCCTCCTTCTGTGACAGAAATCTCTTAAACATCCTTGTTTCTAGTGTCTGCAGTTATAAAAAGTGAAATTGTGTTGTTTTCCTTTTACACCTGCTCATCTTATGCAATGGAAGAAGAGGGAGTTTAGGTTTACATATATATATTTTTATTATGTATATTGGCATATTTTTGGTTTGTACTTCTAAGGCTTGTCCTCACAATTTATTTACAAAGAACAGTTGTACAAATATATTATACTCTGCATATTATAAGTAGCCATACAAATTACCATGCCATTGGGCATGCTAATACAGGTAATGCTGGAGTTCATTACTTGACATAAGCAATGACAGGGATATTGCTCTAGCCAATATTCACTAAAACTCTCCACAGCTATGTCCTGGACTGCTGCAGCTGTACTGCTCAATGAATGTCCCTGCGCAGACCAGGCCGAGTACCCAGGATGTGCATCCATTCGCCAGTGCACCTCGTGGCAGAGGCTCAGCTCACATGCAGAGTTCACTTTGCCAGTGAGAGATGGTGGACATTGAGGGCACCTGACTCACCCTGGGTCCTCACAGAAATTTTATAGGTCTAATTAACAAAAAAAAATCTCTCCCTGTTCAAACTTAGTACTTCTTGTGAATCTGTCTGCAATACAAGAACTGGTGAAAAGAGTCCCACTGATGTAGGAGACACAACAGGAGAGACAAATCACTCCAGTAAAAATGCTAAGGACTTTTATTAAATCTAAATAATAGGAAAGGCAAGGTATACTTTCTTTCTTTTTTCTTTCCCTTGGGGGCTTAAACTGAAAATAAAAACCATCAGTGTTTTCTACTTTTGTGAGAGTGATCTTGTCCCTCCCTTGTTATAGTAGAGAAATCACTTATGGAGCAACAATGATGTGAAAAATACCTGTAAACCCTATTTTTCATGTGCACTGATTATGAACATACTCAGACTTTGTACCCATTTCTGAAACTGCTACTCAACACAGTTTTTGTACAAATAATTTCTGTACACATCCATAGCTATGTACACACATATGCATTCATTAATTAGCTTTAAAATAACTCATGGTAATAACTTCTCATTGGGTCTTCTAACACCATTAAGAAATTACTCATTAATTAATTACCTTCAATTTGGTTGGAGGCGACCTTAAAAGGCTCAGTATTTTATTCCCTTTGTACACATTATCACAATTCAGAGCTGTTTAATACAAACCTTTTTTTCTATGGAAGGGGTGCAGAGCTCTTTGATGTCACTGAACTGACAGCTTTCCCCCATTCTTTTTTTACCTATCCAGAGTGTGGAAAAATTACTCAAAAGTAGGGCACTGGCTGGGTCCCTTGTGGTCTCTTATGTTTACTGGAAATTTCACTTCGGATTTTCTGAAGAGCATTTTAAATTAATGTTAAAACATCTGTTCAGTATTCTATGGCTAAAGGTGATTTACGCAAGTGTTGGAAAAAAAATAAATTGATATGTCAAAGGGGAGAGAGGTGATGATATAATTTATCACTGAAGAGCAGCATTGCTGGCTCCACATCAGACTTGGGCTGGGGCAGTCACGAAAGCAGGATGGTGTGAGAGTAGACAGCGTCATACTTCCCTGGGAAGATCTGAGCAACATGGAGATGGAAGGGAGGCATTTTGCAATGAGTGAAAGAGCTGATGGCAAGCAGAAAGGAGAAAACAAACAGACCTCCTGGGAAACTGGACGTAGAGGGTGGCTTTCGAAGGACAGAGAAATAGGCAGCTGGAAAAAAGATGCAGGGGAACAATTAGTAATTTGTTTACAATCCACTGCCAATTTACCTTCTTTTTTAGCTATGAGAGTCCCTCCCAGCTGTAAAATGCTTTCAGTTTTGTGAGACTTTGGCAATGGCACAGGTCTCAGTATCTGGGCCATAATTCTATTTGGAATGGGGCATTCACCTCCCAAGTCATATTGTTCTCCAGAGGGATTTTTAAAGACATAAAAAAGCATAAGACCTGGTTATCAAAGGTTTTTAAAGAGTAGCAGACAAAGACAAATCACACTGAAGCTTCTGAAACATTCACACAATAGAATTATTTAATTTTTAATGGGATTTGACATTTTATCCCAATAAGTACTAAACTGTATCTTGTGGCATATACCTGCCTTTAAGAACTTATCCTTTAGACATTATTTGAAAATAATCCAAATAATTTGGTTTTGTGTCATGCAATGTCTTGTTTGTACTTTCTAGCCAAGAGCAGAGAGAGATTTCTCTTCAAGTGTCTGCAAATAGTTTGGGTGCCTGTAATTTTTTGTTTTCATGGCTTGCTTTTTATTCCAAGACAAGTCAGAAGTATTTAGTTGATATTAGTTGCTCCTTAAATCTTAGCTTTAAAATCCAGGCGTTCTCATGAAGACACCGTAAGTATTCAACCAGCAACCCTACCTGACTCATTTGAACAGTAGCTTATCACTGTAACTGTGAGGAAAAAAACTTTAACACCATCCTTTCTAACAAATGATAGAAAATGTTGCTAAAAAGGCAGAATAAGATGAAGAAACCCCACTTATCAGGCTAAAATAAATCACCTCAGCATGCCAACATGTGTCAATAAATGCAGACAGGATCTCTTCTTGTTTACATAGGTACTCAGAAAACAATATTGTCAGCAATCCCACCTGTCATTTCTGATACAAGACATAACAGCTATTCTGTCTTGTAACTGCATATGAAAATTTTAGCATTTGGTTTTATGCACTGAAATCCTTCCCCCTTTCCTTTTTATATCATGGTCATTTACTGTGGTATCAGCTCTGTTCTCACCCCACAAGAGCTCTGCAGGTGTAGGATGCCATTCTCAGAAATGAAAGTTGCCTTTCCACAGAATAGTTAAGGAGTCATTATTCACCAGCCAGACTTGACAACAAACAACGATGACCAATTCTTTAACTTAAATTATGTTTCCATTAATAATTTCTTTCCCTTATGAGCTCTGAAGCAACATGAATAACTGTGTGAGTGTGAAAAATGACAACAAAAAATCTGGGCAGAGGAATCATAATGCAATGCCTTGAGCTCTTCTTCAGTCTAATTCAGATGACACAACAGAACAGAGATGGGACTGATCAAACTAACTGGTTATTTAGCTACAGAAAAAAGCAGGTGCACCCAAGTGCTCTTAAAAATTACTCTTCTGCTCTCTCCTTTCTACATAAGCACTGCATTGGCAGTGCTAATCAAGTGTTTGTGGTGTGTTTCTGTGTAAAATGCTGAAAGTTAGAGGGCATTTGCGAAGGGAAACAAAAATAACAGAAAGAAGAGTAGCAGTAGGAACTGCTGGGACACACCTGCAGGTAGAGAGGCTGGTGCTGACGGATAAGGAGATCCTCGCTGCAGGGTCCGTGCTGCTTCCTTTGACTCCAAGTGCCAATCAGCCCTTGGCAGCCAATTTCTTCCCTACTCTAATTCTGGCTTTCAATCAAATGGATATTATTCCAGAAACACAGGCATCCACAGATAAGCTATCTCCCACGGGACAACTGGTGTGAGGAGCTCCACCCATGTCATCACCCATGACTGCAACTTCTCCCTGCTGCTGTCTGGGGGAGGTGCCCGCCCCGTGAGCAAGCATCAGCGCCTGCCAGCATGCACAGCCTGTCCTCAGCAGAAAGGAGAAGGGAACTGTGCTTCACTGCATTGCAAAGCACATCAACATGTTTTTCTACGGGCTACAGTGAAATCAAACTGTACGGAATCAAACAAGTGAACAAAGCAACCAACAAAAGTATGTCCTCTCTAGGTACAAAAAGTGGCTTTTGCTCCATTCTACATTCTCCCAGCAGCCTCCTGTTAGCTACCTACAGGAATTTTCTAAAGGACCAGTAAAGATACATTGGTTAAAGACAGATTCAAATAATGCCCTTAAATATACACTTGGAGATATGTGCCTTTTATACACTTTTCCAAATTTGTGTTTCAGTAGGAAATGATCTGTAACCAAACCAAGGGGCTGGTCTAGTTCATATTTCTTGTCTTTGTTGTGACACTTCCTGGTACATTTTGTACTGAATTCAAGTGTTTTTCCAAAAGACAGTTAACTACCTGGCTGTTTGATGTTCATCATCTGAACTATAAGTAAAACTAGACTTTAAAGGCAAGAGAAATAGCACTGTCAGGAAATGCCATACTAAACCTCTTTCTCAAGTTCTACATGTATGTATCTACATGCTTCCTAGATTGGAAATGCTCTGCATCTTTTCCTGGTTGCATGATGGAGAAGCTAAGGGAACTGTTGCAGCTTTGCTGGTAACAGAGTTTGTTGACACTTCTCTGCTTTGAGAAGTAAGTTCTGAACACTCAAACTGAAGAGAAAGATTTGCTGACAAATGATAGTAATAACAGCACTTTTAATTCTCAACTTTTTTGTCTCTTCTGCTTTCACCAGATTTTTGTTAATATGGGCATTAAAGGATGAGGGAGTATTAAAAGGGCCCTTAGCAGGAATTTTTTAAAAAGCAAAGCAACCTTAAGTAACAATGCCCAACAGTGAGGTGAAAAAAATAACCATACTTGAAAACATTCTCAAGTATTCTCAAGCACATACAGATGTGTCCCTGAATGCATG